TCTACTGCATTCTGTCCTCTATTCAGCTTCCAAAAGATTTTCCTAAAGCGTAGGAATGACCATGTCACCTCTCTACTCTGTTCTGCTAGGAGTGGCTCCCTATCACCTTCAGGGTGACATAAAGTCCTTTGATTGGTGTTTAAAGTCCTTCAGAACCTTGCCCCTCCCTCCCTTCTAGTCTTCTTAGACCTTTCACCCCCAACACAGAGACACTGGCCTCCTTGATATTCTTCATTCAAGAGACTCCATTTCTCTGCTCTGTGCATTTTTGCTGGCTTCCCTACACTTGCAATGTTCTCCCTCCTCATCTGTGCCTCCTGGCTTCTCTCAAATCCTAGATAAAATCTCACTTTCTACAACAAGCCTTTCCCAATCTCTGTTAATCCTAGTGCCTTTTCTCCATTGGTTATTTCCAATTTTTTCCTGTATATAGCTTGTTTTGTACATAGTTGTGTACATGTTATCTGCTCCATTTGATTGTGAGCTCTTCAAAGGCAGGGACTGTCATTTGTCTTTCTTTGTACCCCCTGCACTTATCACAGTGCCTGGCACATAGAAGGAATTTAATGAATGCTTTTTGACTGATGATATATTGAATTAAAATTTATCTCTTTGTAATTTCCACTAGTAATATTAGGTCTGCCCTCTGGAGCAACATAGAAGAAGTCTAATCCTTCTTCCACAAGACAGCATTCAGCAATTTGCAGATATAAGCTAATTTACAATAAACTGCTAATACCAGCTAAATATAGTAACTTCCTAGACCATTCATGTTTGTAGTCTCCTAAACCAGAGACGTCAAACACATCTCCCCTCCCCCCACCCCAGATTAAAATGCTGTTGGGAAATACTTAACAAAATAAATATAAGTGCAGTAGGACATTGATAATGTAAATGTGTGATTTTCTAAGTCAGTATGCAGTTTTGCAGTGGGCAAGAATTCTTATGTAGAATTTAAATTTTGAGTTTGACATCACTGTCCCAAACAATAAAATGAGGAAGACCTGGGTTCTTTAGGACAGAATTTTGAATTGTCCATAGTCATTCCTGGAATGTGCTTCTTGATATACAAATAGAAATATAGTTCATCTTGTTTATACCAGGAAAATTCTTCATCCCAGACTGATCTATTCTCCCTTCTGACTCTTAATGGCTGTTTATAACCTGAGTTTTAAGTTATGGGCAAAGGTCAAGATGGAAAATAGGAGTCCATGATTGTTGCTTTAGATAAAATATATTTACTAATCTTGGTCCTCGAAAAGAGATGATGAGACAACCTTTGCTCCTCTTAGTAGAAGGAGGGAGGAGAATGAAGGGGGTGGCAATGGGTATGGAATACTGTATATGCATTGTCAGACTTGGTCTGATGCCAGTTTTGTTTCTTTGTTACAAGGGACACCAATTACAGCTCCTGGTGGCAGGGTAATATTGAGAAATGATTGTCATTTTTTTAAAAAGTGTCAATAAAACTTGAAAGGAAACAGGAGGAGGACAAAGGATACCAATGAAAAGAGAAAGTGGCATTGGAAAGTTAGTTTTCTGGCTGATCTAGTCTTGTGATAGAAATTTTAAAACCAAGAGATGATTATGATTCTATCTAACCCTTGTTATTAGATTCAGAAAGAAGTTCCAGGGTTTGCCATGGATTTTCCATTTAACAGTTAAATTATTTGATTAGGTATTACCTTACTCGTCCATCTGTAAAATGGTAGGATGAGGTGGTAATTTGAAAACAGCTATATTAGTGTTTCATATTCTTCAGAAAAACATCCAGACTATTGCGTTTTTGGACTTTTGTTGTGATAATTTCCCATTTGTCTTTGGTGATTAGGAGATTAGAATATTTTCATGATCACACATCAATCACAAATTTTTTTTTAAAGAAAGAATTGGATTTAAAAAAAAATACACTGAACATTTAACTCAACTGAACATGAATTAATCATTTTCTATCCTTCACAAACCACTTCAAGATAAACATCAATTATCATACTACTAGACTGAAAAAACTCTGATTATTTAGATTTTCCACTTGTCTGAATCTTTGAAAATAGGAACTTATTGTATCAGTAATGATGATTTATATCTACCTTCACCCAAGCCCATTAATTAAGTATAACTTGAAATCTAAAAGGATCACAACTGAAAGTAACTTTCATGCATCCTCAATGATTATAGTCCTCAAATGATTATAGTCTGCTTGAGGGCAGGGACAATGGTTTTACTCAGCTTTCTCTCTCTCATTCCCCAATGTCTAGCAGGGTAATCTGAATGCAGACATTCAATCCAAAATTAAACAATATGTGTTTATTCTTGATGATAATTTTGGTAAGCTTTCATTTAAAAAAATCAACCCTTTTCCCATAATTTTTTCTTTTAAAAATAATTTCTTATCCATATAAATAGTGTTGAGCATCAGTACAATCAATTAAATTCACTTCACAGTTCTTGACAATTAAATGAAATACATTTAAAAGTCATAACAACTAATTTCTTAAAATGTCATAACAATTTCATTCCTTAGTTGTTTTTTTTTTAAGTTTTCTGGTAATTTTTCTCCTTTCCTTTTCTTTCCCGTCCTCTCTTTCCCTTGTAAAATCAGAGATTTAGACTATATGGTCTCTCAGGCCTCTTTTAGCTCTAAATGTTCTGAATTTAGGGGTCATCTAATTTGTTGCCTTTAAGAATAGTAAATAGAATCTTGTTGTGTATAACTTGGAGTATACTGGCCTTCTTCCTGTTTCTTACCCATAACATTGCATCCTCCATCGCCATGCCTTCGCACTATCTCCCATGTCTGAAATGTACTTTCTCTTCATATCTGCCTCTTAGAATCCCTCATTGCCTTCAAAATTAGCTTAAATGCCACCTTCAACATGAAGCCTATACAATTTGCTCCGCCCCCACAGCTGCTAGTGCCCTTCTCCATATTACCTTACATTTTTGTTGTTATTTTTACTTATGGATGTACGTTTTCTATCTCTTCCCGAAGGTCTGTTGAGGACAGGAGCTTTTTTGTTTCTGTCATTATATCCCCAATATTTAGCACAATGCCTGGTACATAATAGCTGTTTAGAAAATGTTTGTTGTTCTATTGTGTACCTCACCTCCCTCCCCATGATAGACAGATCATAGGTTGATTTTTTTTTAGGCAGTTGGGGTTAAGCGACTTGCCCAGGGTCACACAGCTAGTAAGTGTCAAGTGTTTGGTCTAAGGCCGGATTTGAACTCAGGTACTTCTGACTTCAGGGCCGGTGCCACCTAGCTGCCCCCAGATGATAGATTGATAGAAAAAGAGAGTGGGAGAGCTGTGTAGATATAGATATGGCATATATCTATATTTGTGTTGATGTGCACATATACACATGCATATGTATGCATATGCATGTATAATCTATATATATACACAAAGCTTACTTATTACTACCTATTTGAAAACAAACAAACAAAAAACCTTAGGAGTTATGCCTTTAGCATTCAGCATTAACACAGCAAAAACTAGAATCAAAGAATTTGTTCAACATATATGTCTTGTGTCTATACAATGTTCTGTGCTCAACCTGGGAAAAAATAAAGGTAAATAAGACATAATCCCTGCCCTCATGAAGCTCCCCTAGTAAACTGGAAGGAGACCTCAGAGATTAAGCCTCAGATATGGAATAATTGAAAGAATGCTAGATTTGGAGTCAGAGTGCATGAATTTGAATCCTAATTCTGCTAAAATGTAACCCTGGGCAGGACACTTAACTTCTCTGATCCTAAGTTAATTTATCTGTAAGATGAGGAATTGGACTAAATGATCTCTGAGATTCCTTCCTTTGTACTCTAAGACCATCATTAGTACAACCTAATCTTACAGATGAAGAAACCAAGTCCCCAAAAGAGATAGTAACATTTTTTTTGTGACTTTGAGCTATTAAAAGGCAGAATTTAGGTTTGTACCCATATATTCAAACTCCATCCTTTGGTTTTTCCAGTTGATTTCTAGTTGATTCCTAGAGATGAGCAAAATGCTTTGTGACATTCATTCATCTGACAAACACTAAGCATTCCCTAGGCAGTATGCATTTTGAGGGTGAGAGCTCTTATCTAAACTCTTTATTGTGTATCCCAAAAGTCCTTTTTGGATATCCTGCATTTCCCTCAAAGCCCAGGATAACACCCTGTGTTTAGTAGGGGCTTAACATATTGTTTGCGTTAATGGGCTCAGTTCTGTCAAGATGTTCTTCCTTCTGTTCACCCTAAATCACTCATTTCGTTTTATCTTGTTCTTCTCCAGTATCTGTACTATATGGAGATAAAGATCAACATGTTACTTATTGGGACTTTTCATTCACGTATTCAATTCAACAGACATTTATAGAACACCTAGTGAATGCTCACAGAATGTGTTAGATTATGGAATATTGTGGGGGACATAAAAGAAGAGGAAAATAACTTTGCACCTTCGATGAAAGTGCAAGAGGTTTTGGAGAGAGCCATCTGACAACTAGTAAGCAAAAATCAGTATGAGGTAATATAGCCTAAACTATAAAACAAATAAATGCTTAGGGGATGAAATTAATGACTTGATCCATGTAGTGTGTAATCAATTGGGGAAGACTTCTTGGTGTAGGTAAATATTGTGCTAGTCCTTAAAGGTAGTCAGATACAATTTTCTTGTAACATCAGCTATTGGGCACTGCATACAGATCCTCAGTGAATGCTATTCACTGATGGATTTAACTTTCTTTCTTCTTAGGCTTTAATGGGGGAGCAATAAAGAGAAAGGCAACAGTACTGCTTTTAGGTGCTCAAAACACCCTTGAAACAATTCTCTTTTATTTGGGCAGATCTGGGGGAATTTGATTTTGAGCTAATCATGCTGCTTAAACTCACCAAAGACATGGGGGAGAGGCCACAAGCCAGATTTAAGGTCTTAAAAACAGATCCTCTTGACAGATAATGTGTGCTTTAAATGGCAGGCAATTGACCAACACCATTTTTCCTTGACTTTGCAGAGATGAAAAGAACCAGTCCATCATAGTAAGTGGTGAGTCAGGAGCCGGAAAGACAGTGTCAGCTAAATATGCCATGCGATATTTTGCTACAGTTGGGGGGTCTGCCAGTGAAACCAACATTGAAGAAAAAGTCCTTGCATCCAGCCCCATCATGGAGGTAAAGAGTTCTGAATCTTTCTTGTCTTTCTATCTTTTCTGTTTTCTTCTCCAGCAGCATGGCTTTCAATTATTATTCAATTATTACATGACTGATCACAAGAATCCGTGGAATATGCCAGCATTTCTTATTTTCAAGCCATCTGATGATTAAAAGACATCCATGAACACACAGAAAAATGTCTCTCATGAAATAACTTATAGTAAAACAGATCAGATAGTATACGCTTAGTAAATCCTTATTTCCTTACCTTGCTTGTCCCCCACATACCAGGGATGTGTAGTGTGTATTCCTTGTAAAGACATTAGGTATTAGCCTTGAAGTAAATAATGGAATGTTAGATTTGGAGAGGAACCTTATAGGTCATCAACTCCAGGGATTGTTAATTTTCTTTGCATCATGTACATATTCCTTTGGCTGTTTCGTGAGGTCTAGGGATCCCTTCTCAGAATATGTTTTTAAAAGCATGAAATAAGATACATAGGATTATAAAGGAAATCAATTATATTGAAATATAGTATCAAAACAAATTCATTTACTCCAGGTTAAGAACCCCTAGTCAAGTCCAACTCCTCAATTTGAAAGATGAGGAAACTGCAACTGAGAAAAGTGGCTTAACAAGTCCTGAATAATGAGAAGTATCCCTCCTCCCCACTCCATCTCCTGGATACTTATTGAGTTCTTTCTCATGTGAAAACCCATTCTCATTTTACTGGAGTACGGTAATGAAAGAAAGAAGCAAATTGATGTCACCAGGAGATGTGGAGAGTGGAGGGGAACCCATTTTTATCTTGAAAGGCTGTATTCTTAAAATCTGTAGCTTCCATTAGTTTCAGCTCAGACGTTTCCTACTACATGAGGCCTTTTGCCATTGATCCATACCCCACTCCAGTTTCTAGGGCTTCTTCCCCCTAAAAAATGCTTCATATTTATTCTCTATGTATTTTGTGTATATTTATACCTTTATGTATTATTTTGCCTTAATAGAATGTAAATTCCATAAGAGCTAGGATTGTTTCATTTTTCTGTATGTTATCTCTAGCACTTAACCCAGTGCCTGGTACATAGTGGGATGTGTGGTCACTGTATGGTGTCGTGTCACTGTAAAGAGGCAGCACAGGTTATTTCACTCCTTCATGCCTCTGGATACCAGGATATGATTATGCATATTTCCCATATCCAGTGTCTGAGTTCCCCAAACACAGGAGAACATGGAGCTGCAGGGATATTCTTTGGTGGTGGGAGGGAGCAGTGCCCAGAGATGCATCTTGCGATAGTGCACCAACCATTTATTCATCTCTCTTAAAGGATATCTTTGAGAGAATTATGATCTATAAATACACTACTCAGAGATCATCAATACAGACATGAAGTAAATGAAGTTCTTTAGGGCTGGAGGACATGGAGGTGCAAGGGAATCTAAAGAGGATGAGACATGATGAGAGAAAAAAGAACAGAGATGCAGAGAGATTAAAAAAAAACCCAACACAAAATGAAAGCTGTGTGTTTCGATTCCATTCTTCCCAAGCTTTTTCTTTTTGCTTACTGCTTCCTAAATTCTACTCCACTGGCCCTGTTTATCTCTGTCAAGGAAGTTGAGAGTCACATTTGATGTTTGTGCGCATGAACACACACACACACACACACACACACACACACACACACACGCATATAAACATTTATATATGTGCATGCCTATGCATATGACACATACCACATATTTACATGTATACATGTATGTATAATACACATATACAATATATACGAATAATGTATATAATACACATTATAAATATGTATACACTTTTACTTACAAGCATACATACACACATATTTGCTTTTCTATTTTTGTCCTGACTGCATTCTGATTATCCCCTTACTTTCTGAACAGTACTTCCCAATATCCTTAGCCTGTGCAGTGAGCTCCAGTCCCAGGCACCAAATCAATATCCTTCTGTATTACATGTATGGAGTCCATTTTTCCTGACTTGCAGCTCACTGTTTTTACCAGGGAGGCACTGCTTACCTGCCTTGCATTCTGAGTTAACTGCCTCCTATTCATGACAGTTTACAACAGTCAATAATCATGCATTTGTCATTTTCCCCATCATATTCAATACTCACTCGGGCAATCAGAATATGTAGATTCCTATGTTAGTCCTCTGCTACATTGCCTTTTTAGCTCAGAGCTTTTCTAGACTCTTCCTACTAAAGGCAGGAACTGATATCCCCTTATTTTGTACCTGGATAGCAAGTAGTAGTAGTAGCCTCTGGTTATTCTTCTGTTCCTCTTCGATATCTGTTACATGTTCTAACCAGTGGTAGTAGCGCTCACTGTTAGGATCATCGTGTGTGGTTCTTTTAGGAAGTTATAAAGAGGGTTAAAGGTAACAATGGCAATATCTTTCTCTGTGGTGACATGACACATGGAAAGAGCACTGGCTCTGGAGTCGAAGGACTTGAGTTCAAATCTCACCTCTAATGTTTACTATCCATGTGACCTTGGTCGAAGCACTTAAACTCCTAGACTTCAGTTTCTTCATCGGTAAAATGATGGGCAAGATGGTCTGTGAGGTCCATTCCTGATCAATATCCAGCTACAATCCCATCATTCCTCCCCCCATTCAGTTATCACAAAATCACATTTTGCCAGCTTAGACCCTAATTTGGGGGCCCATGGAGAAATATGAGAAGTATGGAGAATTATGGGAAATATGATAAAAGGCTTCAAGATTGGGGTAGATTTGAAGAAACAGATTCAGAAGAATAAATGGCAGAGAGGCATAAAAAATTATACAAAAGATTTCTTAACATGTATTATCTTCCTTTTTTTCTTCTTACTATTATCGTTCTCTGCTTGTTCACACAAAAAATGACAAGATTTTTATCTTGGTTAAGGCAATAATCAGAAAATTCCCTCTTCTACATGTTTTGTACTGCTATTTCCTCATTATCTCAGCAGGCCATAGTCAGGTTGCTACTTTCAGAATAAATTCTAAAAAGTACAGACTGGTGAGGCAGGGGCTTTTGAGGTTTAGGGGTGCTAGGACCCCAAATATTGAGAGCAAGAGATGCGGGTCCTGCTCAAATGAATTTGAACTAAGCCTTCTTTCAGCCAAAGACAAAGTTTATTAGAATATCGATCAGGGTTGGCCAAGATTTTAAGAACCTGCCATATTGGTTAGACTCTTAAGGAATCTAAACATTTATATCGCCAATGAAAGGGGCCAGATTTTAAGAATCTTAGCCATGACCTGTACTTCTTGAAGGGCAGTATGCCAAGCTGAGGACTTTGTATTTTTTTGCAAAGAGAACTTAGGAGCCATGGAAAGCTCTGTCATGGGCAGAGGAATAATATGGTCATATCATATGGCACACTTACTGTGCAATGGGAAGATTATCTTGGCAGATCTGTATGAAGAGTGAATGAGAGGGGTGAGGGGAAGCAGAGAAACAAATCAGGAAGCAATGACTGTAATCTATGTAGGAGGCAATGAAGGCCTGAGCTAGGGTGAGGGCCATGTGGCCAAATGGTGTGGTGAGTTAGAATTGATAAGACTTGGCAACTGATTGAATATTGTGTATGAGGGAGAGTGAAGGCTGAACCTAAGTGGCTAAAAAAAAAGGTGGTACTCTCAGCAGAAAAGAAAGTTTTGAGAAGGGTAAGATAACAAGGTGTGTTTTGGACTCAATTTTATTTTTTTTGTGAGGCAATCAAGGTTAAGTGACTTGCCCAGGGTTACACAGCTAGGAACTGTCAAGTGTCTGAGGCCAGATTTGAACTCAGGTCCTCCTGATTCCAGGGCTGGTGCTGTATCCACTGCACCACCGAGCTGCCTCTAGACTCAGTTTTTAATTGCATAGGTGTCATCCAGGTTGATATGTCCAGTAGGCAATTCAACATATCCAAAATTGAATTTATTTTTTTTTCCAGTAAACCCTCCCCCATTACAAATTTCCTCGTTATTGTTGAGGGCACCATCAGCCCCCCAAGTCCCAGGCTCCCAACACTAGGTGTCATCCTGGACTCCACACTATCTCTCATCCCCCATATCTAATCCTTGCCAAGGCCTATTGATTTCACCTTTGCAACATCACAAATATCTTGAAAGTCTCCCTTCTCTCCTCTGACACTGCCACCACTCTGGTGCAGGTGTTCATTACCTCTCATGTGGATGACTGAAATAGCCTGCCTGTTGTTCTTCCTGCCACAGATCTCTACCTACTCCAGTTCATTCTCTACTCAGCCACCAAAGTGAGTTTCTTAAGGCACAAGTCTGATCATGTCAAATCCCTACTCAATAAATCCCATTGGTCCTTATGGCCTCCAAGATCAAATACAAAATCTTCTGGTTGGCATTCAAAGCCCCTCATAACCTAATCCTTCCTCTCCAACTTTTCCAGTCTTCTTACACTCTATACCAGGGGTGGGGAACCTACAGCCTTGAGGTCACATGTAGCCCTCCAGGTCCTCAAGTGCAGCATTTGACTGAGTCCAAACTTCACAGAACAAATCCTTTTATTAAGGGGCTGCACTTGAGGACCTAGAGGGCCACATGTGGCCTCGAGGCCACAGGTTCCCCACTCTTGCCCTATACCCTGTCATGTACTCTTTGATCCAATGACTCTGGCCTCCTTGTTGTTCTAAAAACAAGACTCTCCAACTCTTGGCTCTGGGCATTTTCTCTGGCTGTTTCCCATGCCTCATCTCTACTTCCTTTCTGACTTCCTTCAAGTTTCAGGTAGAATTCCACCTTCTACAAGATGTCTTTTCCCCATCCTACTTAATTCTAATGCTTTCCCTCTATTGATTATTTCCTTTTTATCCTGTATATATCTTGATTATCGATATTTTTTTGCATATTGTTTACTCCCTTGGATAGACTGTGAATTCCTCATGGGCAGGGACTGTATTTTGCCTTTCTTTGTATCCCCAGCACTTGGCACAGTGCCTGGCACATAGAAGACATAATCGTTGCACCTTGTTTAGTTGGGTTTTT